ATGAAGACATTTCTCTACAGCCTCTGCGGTTTCTTGAGTTCAGCTTTGAAAGTGACTCCGCTTAGTGTAAACACAGTGACACACTTACCTTTTTCTACACAAGATTGCAACAGTCAAGGTGACAAGGGCTTTTACAGCAGGAAGTGAAACTGTCCCACAGAAGCCATCATCCTGTGCCTCTTCTCTTTCCTTGGCCTTCCGAGGAGTGGATGAAGAGAGAGGCTTTTTTGTTTTGATTTGTTTTGGAGCAGTTAAATTCTTGGGCAGGGCCAGGCATGGTGGTGCACACCTTTAATCCCAGCACTCAGGAGGCAGAAGCAGGCCAAGCTCTGTGAGTTCTAGGCCAGCCTGGTCTACAGAGTGAGTTCCAGGGCAGCCAGGGCCACACAGAGAAACTGTATCTTGACAAAAAAAAAAATAGTGATTTTTATTTTAACCTCAATCTGTGGATCTTAAATTATTCTTGATGCTCATCCGTGGTGAGCCTGCCTTAGTGTCAGGGACTGAAGGACTTGCACTGCCTTTTGTAGTAACGTGTTTGTGTGTGTATGGAACATGCACAGTTTTGCGGGTTAAACAGCATGAGGGATGAGCCCAGATGTCCCATCTGTGAGACCTCCTTCACTGTCACTTGGCCACCTTAATGTCTTGGAGAATCTGCATGGAATTGAAATAGTTGTTTTCTGACTGAGAACTGGCCAGGCTGAAGGCTCGAGTCCTGGAGGAACCTCTTCGTGTTGGAGGCAGGAAGAACTGGCTATAGGCATTTATTTCCTGTTTTCTAATAAGACCATTAAATAATAATAATAATAATAATAGGAGCAGCAGCCAGGTGTCCCAGTACATATTTGTAATTTCAGAATTTGGGAGGCCAAGGTCCAAGTATTAAAAGTTCAAGGTCAGCCTGGACTGTATACATATAAATACTGTCTCAAAAGGAAGAGGGAGGATAGCCTACTCAGCTGACTTTCTTTAAGAATCTCAGTGTGAGTCTGATAGCTAGAAGATTCCAGAACACAGGGGAAGCAAGAGGCGGTCTTCTGGTGTGTTAAACATCAGGCTGGGAGGGTGGTTGTCCAAGCCCTTCCTGTCAGCACATTTGCAAGTCATGGTTTCCTCATCTGTTTGATAAATGAGTGGACTGTACAAAACATGCACCCGGTTCTAGAATCTTGTGTGCATGCACACGCATGTCTGTGTGTGTGTGTGTGTGTGTGTGTGTGTGTGTGTGTGCATGCATGTGTAATGTGAGCTTATATGGAGCCCAGAGTTTGACACTGTTAAGCCCTGGCAAGCACTCTGCCAACCGAGCCCCATGCCCACCCTGGCACTGCTCAGATGGTGGTGCACAGCCTTAATCCCAGCACTGAGGAGGCAGAGGCAGGAGGATCTCTGTGAGTTCGAAGCCAACCACAACCCCAGAAAAAGTCACTGCTCTACCTGCCCTTTGCTCGGCTCCATTTGTGACATCACACCAAGCACCAGGCTTGCTGGTGACGTTAAAGGGTGACATCCATTCTCTCCCTGCCGGCACCTCTCAGGTCTTTTCTCATATTAATTTCCAGCATTTGTTCTGTTGCTATGGAGATTCATATACCTTCTTTGAGACCATGCTCCCTCATAGCCTAAAGTCCTCCCATGAGGCCCTCTTCCCAGTGCCCCTCCCCCCCCCGCCTAAATAGCACTAACCAACCAGGGACCAGGGACTCCACATTTGAGATATAGGGGGTTCCAGAGGGCACTGTGGGTGTGAACAGGAGGGGATCACAACAGGACAGTTCACAGGCAGAGTCCCCAGGGCCAGGGTTCACTCCCACCTCCTGTCTGCTGAGGAAACAGAACCCAGACCTGTGAATGTTCAAGCACCTGGGGA